TGTCCGTTGTGGCTATACAACGTGTCTGAAAAAAACCTTTTTAAACCAATATACATTTTTAGCCTGTCAACAAAGCTACTTGTCTATGAATTGAAATCACTGCAGATACCTCAGTCAGCTTCACAAGTAAGTCAAGTGCATAAGCCAGCAGCAATACAACGGGCAATTAATGCATTGACACAATCAAGCTAATCATCTTTTACTTTCATCAAATGCCATCTATAAATAGTTTACTTGTACAGTCTACCTGTTCATTGAATAGTACCTGTGGAATACAATATTCCACAGAATGCAGTCAGCACTGACACGGTCCTTTAGAATAATTATTGTAGTCAAATGTTTAGTTTTCCTTTTTTTAGGTGTAAGAGACATTAGGCTCATATCTTTACAGCCAAGCTGAATTGACTTTATATTTCAAAAGATTGACTTATTAGATGGTGTTTGACCAACAGTTGCCAGTGGATATGTTTAGGATAAAATTTAAATCTGCCTAAAAAAAATACAAAGACTGCCTCACTCTTTTCATAAACAGAACGTTAAAGGCTAATTCTAACGAATATTTACAAAAACATGTTTGAATCCGTGCGTTATTCATTGTTTAGACGAAGAAAATTTTTTAATTAAAAGGAATTATATAGCAAAATTGAAAAGTTATTTTGACTTTCATCGTTCACTCACTATATACCCTTGCATCTATGGAAGGTCATAATGTCACTTTAAGTTTTGCATTCAATTATATTACATTGCTACAATAATATTATAAATCGTCTTGGAACACACTAAATTGCACCATTTTTCCATTATGTGAAGTAAATTATTGCTAGCCATCGCCCAGTCCTAAGAAGAAGTTGGTAGTGTTGCATATATAGTAACGTGAAGTACAAACATTAAACTCTTACTTTATAATTATGATAAATCGGTATTTATTTTCATTATTGATATATGATCTATTATATTGCAGGATAAACTTTAATATTTAGACACTTGGTAATTTTTCAACTTTTAGTGTTTTAACACCCTTGCAAGTTAAACTTTTAGTCTCCAACACGAAGAGCGCGAAAACTGAAACAGCTCAAATAAGTAAGTATCATAATTAAAAATAAAAAGATGGTTTGATTTCAGAATAGCGAGCAGAAAACCTATTACACAGTATGATGCTGAAAGAAAATCGGGGGCCATAGATTGTATGGATGGAACTACAAGACAAGTTTCTCGTGCACAACATGGCGTGGAGCTCAATTTTTAACGCCTTTAAAATCCAAATCACAGGCGTTTGGCGCGTTGATTTGTCACTACCCCCGGGCCAATCCCCCCCCCCCCCTCATCCACTCTACAACCCTCCTACCTCTCAAAACCATGTAAACATTTTTTCACCAATTTTCAATATCTTGGTACCAAATGGTAGGGAATTGATTACTTTTAAAGGAATTTAAGCTGTCATTACAATCATTTTCAAGTTTTAAGAAGATATGTAATATCAAAGTCACCGCAAGTGTAACTCGACAGAGACCTGACCGCTGGGTTTTTGTCAAAATTACCCGATTTTAAACGGCAGTTTATTCGAAATGAATGAATATTTTTTTTGTATTGCGCATATAATATTCAGTTTAAGCGCTTGAGTTTAAACTCTTTATTTTTACACTATACGTCACAGTATTTTTGCAATGACCTGTATATTTGGCTCCTCCTCCTAACAAGTCATTCAATCTCGTTCGCGCATGCTTAGTAGACTGGGTATATAAACCGAGCACGCTTCTGCAAATTCCTTTTCGATCCAGTCTCCGAGCTCCAGAAGCTGCCGTGAACTAACACGGAAAAATACCCACCCGCCCTTCCCATTTGCTTTGCTGTTGTCTCTTTTTTTCTGTTTTCAGGTAATTATGACCGCCGCGATACTTAGCCCTTCTTCGTCATGGCTGGAATTATCATTTCAACAGTCAATATTTGTTTTGTGACATCCGGAAATTTACCAACGTCGACTGCCAGACCCCTATCATTTGAATCCGACGTCGGTTCATAATTTACATTTAACTGGCCTGTACATAACCATAAACATTTCGAACACCTGTGGGATGCAACTGATTTTCGGATATTTGTAGAATAGTCATTAGATAACCTGTAACCGATGTCGGTACAAAAATAAACACTGTTAATTAACTTAACCTATGTGTAAATAAAACACATATTGTTCTTTAAAAAAAAAAAAAATATTGATATAATGGTTATTATCATATCATTACATTGTTATACATGGTTTCAAGCAAGTTTACTTACATTATATATCACACTACTATTTATTTAAAATTATAATTTTTCTTATAAAGAACGTTTCTCTTTATTGAGCTGTATGTATTTTGTCTTTTATATGTTTACTGGCATATCTGAGCAGGTCCGTTGTTCTATATTCCGAGGAATAGTCTGAGGAGGTTTCCTCCGTGCATGCCAACGGATGCTACGGTTCCTCTTAAAAAAGGGGTTTTACGTAGGCGGCCAGTATTCCTAAGACGAATATACGATCAAACCTGTTGAGTAATTGTTCTGGTTTGGAATGTCCTAGACATTCTATGGCAGTTTTGATCGTGATATGCTTGATAAATGTATTTATATATACAAATGGCTGTATCACTCTTTTCAAAATTTAACTAATTTTAATTGATAATATTTATAAAACATATTTTATAAGCTTCGGATATCAAGTGTTTATCATATCTGGCATTGTCAGCACATTGTCTCTTTTTCGAAACATAATTTTAATTGATTATATCTGAATAAAAATATTAAGCTACCGAAGCATATATAAGCAATATATAAAATGTCACTTCCGACTGTTAGGATATGAGTATTAGTCATATAATATTATAATTGATATACATGTAATTGTTAATATTATTCTATAACAGATTGTCTGGAATATTTAATGCTCTTATTCAGCCGTCGATATGGCGAAAATCTAACATAAAATTACAGGTTTTTGCAATCGATGACGAAGCAAAACCTATTTTATAATATTCTATTTTATATAAAGGTTCAAACTCTATTAACTTTATGTTACTTAATGACCAGTCATGACGGAAATTTTATGCCAACCATAAATAAAATAAGTTAAACATATATGTTGCATTTATTATCATTTGTTCCTTTAAAGTGACTATGTTGGAAAAATAAATATGATCAAATTATATTATTATTTGTAATAATATCTTCTGATATGCAAAATGATTCTGAACATAATTGAAGTGATTTTTTTTTCTTGGCCAGCCAAATGAATGTGAAAATACGTATAGAGGTAAACACGTATAGAATAACTGTGAAATAAAATATGTTTAAACTAAATAAAAACTTTTGTTGCGACTCTTGATATATAATGTTGTTTGCATGACTAATCATCAGTTTATACACATTGTATCTGTTCTTATTGGAGAGGTCACCAGACCTCTCCACAGTGTTCAGACTGATTGCTGGCGGCATCCATTTTTGCGTATCTGATTGTAGTGAATGAATCTCATTTAAAGCGAAAAATCATTAGGAGCAGTCTACAAAAATTGTTTTGCGCATGCTCCGTTTCAAAATACGACTTAACTTAAACGAAAAATTAATATCGTGGTGAACAAATCGGTACATAGAAAAATCGGAAAATATCATTTCATACCGGTTTAATATTTTAAACATTATAAATCGATTACCGTATTGTTTTCTGAATAGTGTTTTACTATTTCATGTTCCGATAAATAGTAACAGTGAACATTATAGCTACAGTATCACCATGTACTATTATATGACCGAGTGAACCGTATAACTAAATTTTGCTGCTCCTTAAACTTTTGATCTGGTATGACTAAATAACGCAACGGTCTTTACTGAGATTTTTTGGCGCAAATGGCACAAATTTTACTCAAGTTTGATTTTCATCAAATATTGTGGTTAGAGGCATGCTTTTTTACTGTATATACTGTTTATTCCAATCAAATGATATAAACATTTTCTATGTAAATCCTGGACTTAAAATTGTTTGATTAAAATACTGCCCGTTTTGGAAAATGTAGAAGTAATGTTTCCATATACTTACCGAAACATCAACCGAAAATTTGCGTATTGAATTTTACAAGAAACTTTTTGATACTACTTTTAACATATATACTAATATATCATTTATTTTAAATTTAGTAATAGAAAGAGCATCGAAACATGAGGGTATCTGGTTTGTATGAGGGGCTTAGCCCCCAAGTATTAATCAGATTGTCGAGTGTTTTGATGTTCTTTTATCTTTTGTATCATAGTCAAACATAAAACACGTTCCCTGCTGCCACAACATGAAACCCCAGAAAAAAGGAACCAATGAACGAGCATCTGAATATGACATTTCGGTCGCTTTCCCTTTCTCTGCCGTCACAATAAGTAAACACCAGCAAATATGAGCCAATCAATGGGCATGCTCTGGAGTGCGGGTAACTGATACGTGCAATCCAGTTAACTCATTGTGCATGTTTATGTATATGATTTAACTCTGACACATTTTCAACAGAAAGGTCCCCAAACTATGATATATAAATAAATAAATTTATGATAAAGTCTGATATTTTGAAGCCTTTTCCCATTTTTCACAATTATTTCTATTCAGGCTTTTCTGTTCATAAATATGGATGACCGATTAATAAATAACTGATCTTGAAAATTTGAATGTTGAGGTTATCCTTATAAATCATATCAGGCTTTGTTACAAAACTTCCACAAGTTTCTTTAAGGTTCGTATTTTTTGGAGAGCTCATTTTTACAACTAAATACATGTATACATGTATGTACATTGTATACGATAACGTGGGTTGGATATCAATGTTTGCACATTCAAGCATCTACTCGTATATACAGATCGATTCTTAATTCGTAGATAATAAACGACTCTACTTATTAGTGCCATGACTTCAGAAAATATATAGTAATAAATTTTATAAACAGATGAGTATTATTTGTTTCATCATAAATAAAAAATACGAACAAAATAGTGATACTTCTTTTAGTTTTAATAACAAAATGAGCTAAAAAACGTGAGAAAAATAAATAAATAAAGCAAAATGTGATAATAATGCATTTGTAATAATATACAAAATTGAGCAACAAATATTTTTTCAACTTCTGTCACTTTTCTATACATGAAATTAGTCATCTCTTTACCGAGTGAAAATCAATTATGTTCAGTTCCATAATTTTAACAACTAATCTTCTATGTACGTACTTACACTAAAAGACATCAAAACATAGCAAAAGTACGGAGCCCCTAAGGTTTCCGACACTTTTTTACCGGCATTTAATTCGATTTTCGAAATAATAATTCGTAATTACGAATAAATATTTCGTAATTACGAATTATTATTTCGTAATTTCGAATTATTATTTCACAAAAACGAATTAAGTTACGGGGAAAAAAGTGTGGAAAATGTCACCTTAGGGGCTCCGTACAAAAGTATACCATCGTATGTACATTAACTACGGCACATTTCATCATGGAATTCTATTATATCTTAAAATTGTTTCCATTCATATATAAAAAGACGATACGGCGGGCGAATCGAAGATATAACGTTCTACAACGGCTTTTACTGAAGCCAGGGTGTAACTAAGTATTCAGAATGTTTCCTCTCGTATCGTTCAAACATACGATGCATATGATATCAGCCTTGTTAAAGTATTCTTTACGATTATCAAATGTATAAATTTCATCATATTCAATCTTTATTAAATGCACGAATAAAGTATTTTTTCACACCTCATAAAGTATAACAGATGAATTTTCAGTGTTTGCTTCACGTGATGCTCTTATAAAAAACATTATTGGATTGTTTTCATTTCCAAACTCAAGTCGATACTAATTATTGCATATTGCCTCGTTTTCATTTTTATAAAATACTCCATCTAGCGTAGTTTTTATTTTTGAGATTCGAACAATCAGTTACTTATTGTACTTGAAACAATATGTCGTGTCAAAAATTATGGTGCAAAATAAAGTATTGTTGAGAACAACACTGATTTTATCGGACACAGTTGCAAATCTATTTCAGACTCGGCTGGTGCCTCGTCGATTTTCTGTATGACAACTGCATGTGTTCTCGTCCAACAGAATTCAGAACTGTACTTATTTCATATTACATGTATATTATTTAGGTCTAGTAATAATACAATTTGACTATTGCTTCTAAAGATGTACTACGTTTTGGGATATACATGCACGGATATATTCAATGTCTAGACTGAAATTAACATGACAAACGTCTAATTAATAAAATTAATAAATTCACCAAGCTTGTTAAAAATGAATATCACTATATATTGAAAGATGTTCTGTCATTTTTCTTTTTGTACGGAGAACAATGTGTCCGTGTCGTGTGTATTCCAGTTATAATAGGTGTAGACTGGAGCATATTCCACGGTGTCCTTGCTGTCTTTCCCTTCTTTAATTTTTACTCGTCCTGTTGCACTCTCAGTCATGGTAGCAGTTGCTGAAAGTGATAACATGAGCCGCGTCACGACAAAACCAACATAATGGGTTTGCGACCAGCATGGATCCAGACCAGCCTGCGCATCCGCGCAGTCTGATCAGGATCCATGCTGTTCGCTTACAAACTCTATAACAAGTAGAGAAACCAATAGCGAACAGCATGGATCCTGATCAGACTGCGCGGATGCGCAGGCTGGTCTGGATCCATGCTGGTCGCAAACCCATTATGTTGGTTTTGTCGTGACGCGGCTCATATATGTTGATACAAGTATTGCTATTTTCTAAATGATTCACAACTTTGTCTAAATACTTTTATACTCAACGAAATCGAGCAATAAGGATCTCCATTGAGGTACATACTCGTAAACTTAAACCATGATTTTTAAGCACCTAAAATAGAAATATTTGCAAACGACAATAAAGAAATATAGATATGCTCCGAATTTTAATTGAAAATCTTTTCTTTTTAAGCATTACAACGGTTTTCATTACTCGACCATTTTTTTACAATTTGTTTCTAGTGACAAGTGATCTGAAACACACGAGCTATTGATTCAAACCCATATTTAAATATAGAAATCTCGTAAAAATATTTTCAAAAAGACTACATAATATTCAGACGATTCAGTTTACAGTGATTTCCATATTCAAATGACTTTTATTCCTACGGACATTCGTTCTGAGGATGTATCAAACTGTTATGGCTATACGATTATTCATTTATAAAGTGTCTATTTTGCTTCTATGTGTGTTATTATATTACTGCTTAATCTACCTTTTGTTGTTACAGCAAAAAAGAATGCACATATAAAATTTTAGTTCATGACACTGCATGTATAAATGTTAATAAACTTAAAGTTGGTTGTTGTTATTATGTATTGTGAATTACTTGTGTACATGTATGTATGTAAATAATATTACCTTCGTCGTGACAGCAATTAGAGAATATACATGGTACATGTATATTGTTTTAGTTTAATGACACTTCTAAAATGATTCATTAACTTATGCAATAGTGGGGCTACCACATTCCAAAAATATCTTTCTTAAATGCATTATGCTTGTAAAACAATATGAGCCGCGTCACGACAAAACCAACATAATGGGTTTGCGACCAGCATGGATCCATGTTGTTCGCTTACATACTCTATTACATGTAGAGAAACTGATAGCAAACAGCATGGATCCTGATCACACTGCGCGGATGCGCAGGCTGGTCTGGACCCATGCTGGTCGCAAACCCATTATGTTGGTTTTGTCGTGACGAGGCTCATATGCACTTACGTATATTTGTTGGCATTGATAAGTCAGAGTATAAGCCGTGAATGTTATTGCCTGGTTGGGGGAGCGAGACAGACATTGGTTCTTGTGTCGAAAGTGAAAGACCATGCTGTTCTGCAACTGAGGTTAGTGGTACACTCCCTATAACAATCTCTACGGGAACCTCGAGATCAAATCCTAGGCCGGAAGGATCTGCTATAATCTGTACATATTATATTTTCATTATTTCTTGTGTATAAAGCTATATATCTACTACACAACATTTTATTCTGTTAACGTACAATATTCATGTGTGTTACATAACATAGACATTCTATATTACAACTCATTCGAGAATCAGTCATAAGATTATAGAAACAATATAAGTTCACTGTTGATAAAATTTATGAATATAGATTTATATTATTTAACTATTAAACACCATTAGTTTATGTTAAATCAATTATAATAACAATTATTACAATGTGATATTGTGTTTGTTTGTCATAAAATAAGATATATTTGTTCAAATGTATATTATATATACACTCGTGCAAAAATACAATAAACTCATTTGTTTGCATTTAGTACGAAAATAATGAATATGTTTATTTCATTTTGAGCGATTCTTAAATACAAATGCCCGGATGTTCTCGGACAGAATTACCTCTACCAAGTATTTGATGTCAATAATTTTACAATCATGGAGATAGGAATTCGGGACAGGTGGAATGTGCAGTCTTTCATTGTTAAAGATTTCCGTCTCTCCACCATTAAGTTTCCCATGTTTCAGTTCTCCTATGGTTTGTTTAAAAGGCTTGGACTTCATAGTTGCATGGTATGTAACCTCCTGAAACAAAATCAGATTTGAGACGATTAAAGAAAAAGATTTCTTCAAGTAATTATATACATGTGTATAAGGAAAACACAATTACCCCTTTGGACGGGACCAATTGTGACCAAAAGGCTATAATCTGATCAATCTTGGTAGAGGTCTACAAGACAATGGCTTTTGCAAACTATCTTTGCACTAGGTCTTTTGGTTCAAGAGAAGTAGATTTCTTTAAATTCTTTTATATTATTCCTTTCGGTTGCCATGGCAATACAATTTCTGCATGGAATCAAATTCTTTGGACAATTTCGGAATACCTTTGCACAAGAAACAATCCTGGCATGTTGAAATTGGACTTTTTAAAAAGATTTTCTAAGTTCACTATATAATCTATGTACCACACATGCACGTACACGCACGTACACACACACACACACACACACACACACACGCACACACACGCACGCATCGCATACATACATACACATAAGATGAATCGGTATATGCCAACGAATTGCAGACTGATGCTGGCATAAAAATAGATAATTCCATAACGTCAAACGGATGCACAGTCAAAATTATCAATATGGGATTTTATATTGTGCTTATGTTTATATGTAATACACCATTTCATTTAAGAATTAATGAGAAAGAAATAAAAGATAAACAGAAAATGACCTAGATAAATATTTGAAAAGCAAAAACGGAGCCCCTTAAAATCGCCATAATTGAAAAAATTTGTTCTTTATTATAAAATATCGGTATACACGTATATCTATAGACATACCATTTGTAAGCATACTTTTGTACAAGTCATTTCTCTGTTACTTTGGTTGTTGATCTCTCCTCGAACTATTATCATTTCTCCCGGGACATATCCTTTCCTGTCAATCGCGATCATGCCGGAAATCGGGTCAGATTCACAGCAAAGACAACATAATCTCTTCTCTCCAGTGTTTGTTGCTCCTTCCTAATAGTAGTTTAAACCATAACATATTAAGTTTGTGAAAAATATTTGTACAGCTCAGCATGAAGCCTGGTGAAACGGTACAAATGTGAAACTGGACGAAAGTGCAACTGGACGAAAGTGCAACTGGACGAATGTGCAACTGTACGAATGTGCAACTGGACGAATGTGCAACTGGACGAATGTGCAACTGGACGAATGTGCAACTGGACGAATGTGCAACTGTACGAAAGTGCAACTGGACGAATGTGCAACTGTACGAATGTGAAACTGGACGAATGTGCAACTGTATGAATGTGCAACTGTACGAATGTGCAACTGTGCGAATGTGCAACTGTATGAATGTGCAACTGTACGAATGTGCAACTGTACGAATGTGCAACTGGACGAATGTGCAACTGTACGAATGTGCAACTGGACGAATGTGCAACTGTACGAATGTGCAACTGTACGAATGTGCAACTGGACGAATGTGCAACTGGACGAATGTGCAACTGTACGAATGTGCAACTGGACGAATGTGCAACTGGACGAATGTGCAACTGTACGAATGTGCAACTGTGCGAATGTGCAACGGTACAAATGTGAAACTGGACGAATGTGCAACTGTATGAATGTTCAACTGTACGAATGTGCAACTGTACGAATGTGCAACTGTACGAATGTGCAACTGTGCGAATGTGCAACTGTGCGAATGTGAAACTGTGCGAATGTGAAACTGTGCGAATGTGCAACTGTGCGAATGTGAAACTGTGCGAATGTGAAACTGTGCGAATGTGCAACTGTGCGAATGTGCAACTGTATGAATGTGCAAAAGTACGAATGTGCAACTGGACGAATGTGCAACTGTACGAAGTGCAACTATACGAATGTGCAACTGTACGAATGTGCAACTGGACGAATGTGCAACTGTACGAATGTGCAACTGTACGAATGTGCAACTGTGCGAATGTGCAACTGTGCGAATGTGCAACTGTGCGAATGTGAAACTGTGCGAATGTGAAACTGTGCGAATGTGCAACTGTGCGAATGTGCAACTGTGCGAATGTGCAACTGGACGAATGTGCAACTGTACGAATGTGCAACTGTACGAATGTGCAACTGTACGAATGTGCAACTGTACGAATGTGCAACTGTACGAATGTGCAACTGTACGAATGTGCAACTGGACGAATGTGCAACTGGACGAATGTGCAACTGGACGAATGTGCAACTGGACAATGTGCAACTGTACAAATGTGCAACTGGACAATGTGCAACTGTATGAATGTGCAACTGTACGAATGTGCAACTGTACGAATGTGCAACTGTATGAAAGTGCAACTGTACGAATGGACAACTGGACGAATGTGCAACTGTACGAATGTGCAACTGTATGAATGTTCAACTGTACGAATGTGCAACTGTACGAATGTGCAACTGGACGATTGTGCAACTGTATAAGGTGAAACTGTATGAATCCCACTGTATGGAACCACGTGCCAAATATCAAGAGGCTGTGAAAAGTAGTTGCTGGCAAAACTGTTACGAAAATTTTCTACCATTTACCATAAATGTCGAAAATTTAACTAGGTCGGTAAACAAAAAGTGGATGAGCGACAGACCTGAAATAGAATCCCACAGTATGGGACCATGTATCAATGCTGTATGCCAAATACCATGAGGCTGTGATAAGTAGTTGCTGAGAAAACTGTTACGAAAATTTCCTACCATTCACCATTAATGTCGAAAATGCGCATAACAATGTTTGTAGGCTGGTTATCATGATTTGAGGCTGTAAATGAGATTCATTAACTTCAATTTGATAAGCAAAAATGGATGCCGCCAGTAATCATCCTCAACACTGTTGAGAGGTCTGATGACCTCGCCAATGACACAAAAACAACAATTCCATATTCGTCAATTATATCAAACATACTTTGATTGTGCATAGAGGCAGACTTGACCTCGAAAAACCTTGTTTATAACCCGAGATACTACACTACTAGGATTGACGGATCTATACCCTGCAGTTTAAATATGATGGCGCGATGAAGTGATATGGTACGATGGTAAAATAGAAAAAAGCAAGAATCCCTAAAGAAAGTCCAACACAACATAATTGAAAATGTTGCAGGCTCGGTTTGATGGACGGTACTGTAAAGTGCAAACTACCGTCCACGCCCCCTAGCACCGGCTTAATTAAACAGAATTCAACATTTAAAATGAACTGGTACAATTTTGAATTTTGAAACATTCGCAGATGTGTTCATATGGCGGTTATCATGGAACCTTCAATGTGACACTAGGTGCCATTCCATGAAAAGCGGCATATGGTCCCCAAGTAAAAAAATGCGTGTGCCCGAAACGAGAAAACAATGGGCGGAACTAAATAAAATGGTATTTTGACAGGGGATCTGAGGTTATGAAGCCTGCATATCACAGATATGACGTCAAAAGACAAATTTGAAAAGCAGGCAACATATCCTAAGGGTGATTCAACAGTATTCAAGTGAGGAATACTGGAACCACCCAACAAGAAAAAAGCCAAATAGAAAGAACTAAATTACCACAAGCACAACAATAATGCCGTGCTGAACGATCTTTAAGGATCGGAAATATAACGTTGTGCGATGATGAAATCGCGATGGCATGATGATTAAAACGCGATATTACATCGCGTTTTCACCATTGTACATTGTGACATCGCGATTTCACGATGCAAACAATGTCACGATGGTGCGATGCACACTAAAACCTATAAACAGATAAGAGAAACATAATTATCTACAACAAGATTTGAAACGTATTTAGTGTCCAGCTTTATTTGTCATCCAATGAAAATGCTACAATAAAAATAGATAGCGACAGTCACTATGAATTGAAATTGATATCTAGAGTATCGTCTTTTGCTCTTCTAACAGAATTTTTAAGAAACACAGCATTTTCATTGGATGACAGTACAATTTCACATTCGTACAGTTTCACTCTTGTCGCTATCGCAGCCGTCGAAGTTTCTATTTTCTGTAGAACAGCTTGGATAAACACTAATATAAAACACTAATATATACATAGAACCAAATGTTCACAATATTGTTCGAAGTGAAACACATATATTATAAAAATACACAAAAGTTAATCAGAACCATATGAAAGGACTGTATTATACAGAACTAATAAGTATTCGAATATACGAAAATGTATATACAATTTTTCGGCATGGTATCACAGTGGTTGTGAAGTAACTTACCGTAACATTGGGAATTGTATTTAAATCAAGTGGCACGACAATTGTTATAAGCTTTTTACAGTATTTATCCCGTGCCCATGGGATGTCGATGTGTGCCTTTAAGGAATATCTCACATGACCAATGACTGCCTCGAATGACGCCGGTATATTTATAGGAAGCTGGACTTTAAATGGGTATTCATACTTCCCTGGCTTGAATTTTACACTGCTCTCACCTGATTGTTCTGCAAGTTAAAAACAACACATTTTTAAACATGTACAGGTATCAATTAATGCATAGGGATTATTCTGTCTTTGATGAGACAGGTGAGAATTTATCTGTTTCTTTATAATATACATGTACACCACTCAACATCTTCATGTCTAAAGATTTATGCTTATTTTCACGAAAATTTGAAAATGTATTTAAAAGTAAATTTTTGAAGTGAACAAGGAAAATAAATTTCACATTAAAACTGCACTTAAAATCTACGTAAATGATCTAAAAGAGATCAAAATATGCAAAGACAGCCCTCACTGCGTTAGTCACGCATAAGAATTAGATACTGTATAATCATTCTTTAATCGCACATAACATGTTAGTTATTACTTGAATCTTGAACCTTTTTTCACTTTGCTTAAAATCTTAATACATTTTTTTTCTCAAATTTGACTTTCTTGAAATGTCTTGACTCATCTGGAGGCATGCAGTTTTAACGAAATCATACAGATAAGAGGGATCAAAAGCTGATATATGATATTCCCATTAAATGTTTTGAGTGTCGCGCATACGAGGAGTAGTTTTAACATAGAAAATAAACATATTCGAAAATTAGGTTGGCAATATATCCACATCATCACATATTGACAAAACAATAAAATGACATATGATGTAAATGTTTAAATTAAATATGCATGTATGCGATTATGTCTTTATAGGCCTCGTAAGTTCACAAATTAACCTATAACAGTAGTCTGGCATAGAAATATAGAAAAAAAAGATATATAAAACTTACCATCCGTTTTATTTTGTTTGTCTCCTGTTTTGTAACCTGCTAACAATATACGTTATATACATACAAAACTCAAGTATAAGGATTTAAATAACTTGCCAACCATTGCTCAAATATTGCTATGCAGGCGGGATTTATTCTAAGAAAATGAACGTGGAAAATCAGTCTCCTTTTAACATTAACAATGTCACCACTACTTCAGACCCCTCCCCCACCCAATCACATATTATTAAAGAACTTTTTGATTTATTATGCACTAGTTTAAGTAGCTTGGTTTAGCGACTTGTACAGATAAATCTATAAAAAGAAACTTTAAAAAAAACATGAAATTGCACTCACGTTTTCCAAACAGACACTGTTTAAAATGGAAGTATTTTTCATTTCCGTAGTAATATCGGGTATTTTGTCCCCCTCCCTCTGTCCAATGACATTTTGCTTGGCCCTTGGAAATGAAGTTGATAGCTGAAATAAGAATGTACAATTTACATAACCTTTGAACATTAACGTTAATACCGCGGGTTGTGCGTTATGAACGAGTTTCAGCAGAAAGTTTTCGTGTATAATCTGAATTTAATTTATTTATTACAAGTTTGGTAAGTTTTCTGCCCGTAGGAGAATCCATATGAAAACTACACTACAATTGCCCTTTTTCTGAAATTTGTCTTTTTTTAATATCGAAAAAGATTTTCTTTTAATAAATTGCATAAATCCCTAAAAGTTATTCTCACGACTGTTACCAACTTTGTGAAATATCTAAATAAATTTTCTACTAGTTCTTTTCTGCTCTGTTCACAAAGTCTTGCCGATTTTCCACAATCTCTTCCAAAAAAAATTCAGCCGCTTAATCCTTGTAAATTGTTCAAAATTGCCCAGCGATTGAATCGTTTGGAATAAACGTGTTGTAGAAAGTGTTAAAATGATTTGTGTGTTAATGTACATGCCCCTCATTTGAAGAAATACAGTCAGTATAAAAGACATTCACGAAAAATCCGATTTAAAACGGTGCGGTTTTAAGCATTTTCCTTCGTGCACTTTTCCAAAAGTCTGTCATCATGGAAATATTAACATATTTTCAATATGACGATATACAGTCTGTTAGCCAAAACAAATATCACCGTAGATAGTTTTCCACTTGAGTTCTAGATATTAGTAATATTAGCTAATTATATTAAAGGTAAATGCTTGATTGAATAAAATATCTTAATCAGGTTAAAGCAGCGTGCCTCCAGATTCATGTTTATATTTTATATAAATTTTAAAAAATATATCAAAAATTAAGTTTTTTTCAAGTGAAGGAAGAAAGTAATTAACACATTGCAAACAAAACTTTAAGTCCACGTAAATTACCAAATGAATGACAAATATGCAGAGTAAGCCCTTAATGCGTTAGTCACACGCTAGAAATATGATATTAATTACAACAATATCAGTAACATGTCAATTGTTACTTGAATTGCAAATATCTTTACTTTTCTTATTTGGAGGCATACAGCTTTAAATCGTCTTACCGTGTAATTAAAAATGTTTTACATGCATGGTCAGCTTTAAAGGGTGACTTAACTTATTATCGTAGTTAAGACTCACCTGTAATAGTTTTTTCCTCTTTTAGAACAAGTTCAAACTTCCCTGTAATAAGTTGACCAGGGTAAAAAACACCAGTAGGATTGTCTAATATAATTTGAGACAAATCTTGCAGAGCCATGTATGTTTTTTAGGTTTCAATAGCCGTTAATGCCTATAAAATAAGATATTTACACTGTCAGGTCTGCATTTGTCATACGTTTATATGTACCATAGTTTAATACGCATAACTTCAACATTATATAATAAGCATTATACGAAATCTCGTATTTCGTTAATTGCAGTTTATTAGAAGGGAGACAACCCTGGTATGTCATTATGATCGTATTTTATACTAGTCATCTCCCTTTACAGAAAAGCTTTTGTTTTTTATATTTTGTTTTGTGTTTATTTCCATCACAAAGTTTAGTTTTAACTTATTTTGCTTCTGCTTTTGTTGTGCTTTTTTTATTTCAAATTTCAGCTTTATTTAAGATGGATGCTATCAATAGTGTTCAAACGAAACGTCATGGCTGGATTTCATATTGCGTTAGTAATTACACTTTAGAGACACGTGCCTAAAGACTTTAATTATTCCATGTAATCATACATACAAACCTTATAGATGATGAATTGATTAATATGTTTTCTATCCCTTTATCGCATTTATGATTGAATTGTTTTTACGAGATCTGCATAAGTTTTATAGCATTTATATAATGGTGGTTATTATTATTACATTGTTATACATGGTTTTAAGCAAACTTACATTAAATATTACGCTACATTGTACGTTTTCTTTAAAGAATATTTTGCTTAAGAAGAACGTTTCTCTTTATTGAGTTGTTTGTATTTTATGCGTTTATTGGCATATCTGAGCACGGTCCGTTGTTCTATATTCCGTGGAATAGTCTGAGGAGGTTTCCTCCGTGCATACCAATGGATTATACGGTCCCTCTTCAATTTAAAAAAAAGAAAAAAAGGGTTTTACGAAGGCGGGCAGTATTCCTAAGACGAATATACGACCGAATCTGTTAGAGTAATTGTTCTGGTTTGAAATGTCCTGGGCATTGTATGGCAAATTCGATTGTGATATGCTTGATAAATATTTATCCTTTTTTCTGATATAAAAACTAATGGCAGTATCTCTTTTTTCAAAATGTAACTTTAAGTTAAATTTATTTATGTTATTATATATCTATAAAACATAATTTATAAGCTTCTGATATCCAGAGTTTATCATATCTTGCAGGCATTTCTCAGCACGGTGTCTCTTTTTCAAAATATAATTTTAATTGATTATATCTGAATAAATATATTAACCTTCCGATATCCGGAGCAATTTATGTTACTGTCCGGAGTTAAATCAGCCATATGGGCTTTAGTCATATAATATATTATTTATTTGGAATATTTAATATTCTTAAACAGCCATGGACAAAATACTGCCAAACCTAATTTACCTCAGTAAAACGTTATCAATCTAAGAAAGAGATTTTTTTATTGTTTCCTCTGCTAATAGTACATGTATGTATACCCGTAATGCTACGTTTACACTATGTTTCCGGCAGTCACGGTAGCCTCGTTATGAACTTATTTCCCTGTAGGATTTTGACCACTTATGTCTCTATGTATCCAAGTTATATCAAGTTTTGCAAAGTTTCACCATGGTTTATAACTGACGAGCCGTTTGAACAAAGAAGCAGGTCTTTTAAGGTGCAACTGAGATTCGAGCCTCGTTCTAAAAGGGATACATGTATGTTGCTCCCAGGTACGATGCGTTCTGATGGGATCTGTCTTCATTCAGGTCTGATAAGTATTTTATGTCAGGTGTTGAGCATTGATGCATGGGTCCTCGATTTTAAGGTTTCATTAAAAATACCATCTTCAACGTTATTGGAGGAACAGGTTAAGGTCTTACACCTTTCAAAGACCACTATAACAGTGAACGCTTCATACCGTTACGCGCCTGGATGCAAAGTATCACAAACCGTACTGCATCGTGATTGAAATGTTATGAAATATGGCTATCGTACAAACACGCTTTCCATAATAGCAGTAACAACACGGTAAACAACGTAATAAAACTGAAAAAAGAACTGCAGGTACTAAGAATGGATTTAGCTCAATACAGGATTGGAGCAGTACCTCTAGACGCTTGCAGAAATCATGATCACAAAATAGACAAATATCGTTTTTTCGCTGATTTTTACATTTTTCATGCATTATCATACATAAATCAGTGTGAAAAGATGAATTAGACCTATTAAAGTTCATTCCGTTGCGTAAAAAAGCAAGATTTTTAATTCTATTCTCTTTACATTGGCCCTCAAACACCGCACTTTGGGGTCCAACGCACTTTGGGGTCCAACGCACTTTGGGGTCCAATTTTGACCCCAAAGTGCGTTAAACAGGTACATATGCATTTTTTTACTTCAGACAAACGACTGCACTTTGGGGTCATAAAAATTAAATCAATAAAAATGAATTTTTATGATGTTTAAATAATATATTGTAGTCATAGTCAAAGGTAAACAAACTTCAAAGTATTAAAAAGACGCAAAACATGTGCACTGAATTATTGTAGAATCAATAGGGATTTAAATGATCTTTATCAGTTAGTGAAGAACTTTCATCAAATAAAGAATTTGTATCAATTAATGAGCTCAAGGTATTTTTTTCTCTTATTTTCCATTTATTCAAAAAGAGTGTACACCTTTCACTAACCCCATTGTTTTTTTAGCTAATTGCATCATTTTCCCGGGTTTTTTATTTACATTTTTATACAAATATGATAGTCTTAGCAGAGACAGGAACAGAGAGAGGTATAAATCCTTGGAAATCTCAATAAGAGATTTCAATAAAACAATATGCCTGATAATATGTTGAAAGGGCCATTTATTTAGCTTATCTAAATGTGATTTTTAAGAAACTTGACTAGGTGTAGATGCAGGCAGTACTCAAAAATATCTTAAACTGTTTAAGAAGTCACACATTAGTTTAAGATATTTTTGAGTACTGCCTGCATCTACACCTAGTCAAGTTTCTTAAAAATCACATTTAGATAAGCTAAAAAGCGTGGGACTTCATAATAATGTAAAGTTCTGACTGCAGGATCTAGAGGGGATGGTGGTGTTCCGACCCCCGATATTATACAAATAACGTTTTAAAGGCCCATTACGCTTTTATTTCAATTTCTTAAAAGCTAATTTTGGTGTACTTTTATAGTATCTAAAGAGTTACTCATTGGTTACTCATTTTGTGCGGAAGTCAATTACTACATTGTTTACTTTTTGCTACTTATATGACAAATTATTTCACATTATCGCTACTTTATCCAGGTAACAAGCATCTTACATTTCTCAGATACCATTATTCAAACATTATAAATTTCATGTTTGCCCTTTCTAAATAATTATGTAAGATTTCCCATTAAAAAAAGACTCTGGCGAACGGTTGTTACGGAGCTTACAAACAAAACTTAATTTTGTTGATAAGATTATTAATATACATGTATTTGTAAAAATCACTATTTACAGTCCGATCGAGAAACTTTATATTTCACCGAAACATTGCAATAGAGTATATTTATAGTTCTTTGGGGAAAAAAGATATTAACCGCATTTTATTTCATCCCCATCATATTTAAAATCGCGCTCAATATGGCACCAACAGTTATCAAGTAAATGACTGACACAGGATATTTTTCGCAGCAACTTTTAATTTTAGGAAAACATTCACAATTTATGTGCTAGAGTATTTTGTTTTCTGGACACAATTTTTAGATATTTCAAGTGGTAAAATTAATGAAACTTTTATCACTTAAGCATCAAACAAAGTATCGACCGCCATCTTGAACTCCACCTCAAATATTTCAATGTCGCAGATCGAAAATAAGTCAGTACTCGGTATTTAAGCAGAACTCTGTTGACACCTTCAGAACTCTGGAACCCAAAGTGCGTCGATATGTAGCATATTAACGCCCTTTGGGGTTAGTTTTTCGATTTTAACCCCAAAGTGCATTGGATCCCAAAGTGTGATGGGAAATGTAACGCACTTTGGGGTATGACACCAAAGTGCGTTGGACCCCAAAGTGCGGTGTTGCAGGGCCCAAAAGGATTTGTCGTGGCCACAGGGAACATAGTGTAAAGGTTACATTAGGTAACTACCCGCCAGGCTAAAATACAGTCATGTATGTCTGTGTTTTTTTTTGTTTGGGTCGTCAGACCAAACAAATAATGGTAGCGAAATTTCAGACCCTGATGTTCTTATTTGCAAATGCCGAAAGTAGTCCAAACTCCTCGAAGCGGTTACTTCCCTTCATATGTACATTAACGTCGAAAAATTAAGGGTAGAGCACTGCGAAAAGATTGTCAAATGACAGGCGCATTAATTTTCGTAACGAACAAATAGTTCCCGATTGGTTTGGATTTCTAATATTGTGTTATTCTTATAGATATACATGCTTATATTCAACTCCATGATTATTTACTTCAGTGTTAAACAACAGGTTTACCGTGAACAAAATATATCGAAATTAATAATGGTTACAAACCCTAATTAAGAATAATATGGTCTTCAGGCTGTTATCTTATAAATCCCCGTGGTCAAGGGGTTTACACGCTCGCTTTAGAAGCGAGATCCGGAGTTCAAATCCCAATTCATGTAACTCATGTTTTTTGTTGTTGTTTTTTTGTGTATTTTTTGTAATTGATTAAGCTAAAAACATTGAATTGAATATCAGTGTTGCAATTAGTCTTATAGCCAATTTACTATAGTTATAACACTGGAAAAAGAATTTGATGACACTTTACAAACAAATTGGTTTATAATCTCACAACCTTCACCTTTCTGACATTCTGAGACCAAACAAATTTAGTGCCTTCTGTGCTTTGATTTTTTTCATTTCTATCAAACTGCATGCATGACAGTATAAAAACAAACCCATACATTTTACTTATAACAAGTAAATGTGGAGTAAAATAGTATAGATATAATAACCAGAAACAAGATATCCATTTATAAATTGTGTGTAAAAATATTCACCAATAAATCATGTAAATACGCGTATTTAGTACATATACATACAGTCATTGTGGATAAATAAGTGCTTCTTTTAAGCATGAAATTATTAGATTTAATTTGAAATTAATAATGTGATGAAGTAGCATAGATGAAGTTTATCTTTAAGATTGTGAGGTTAACTCGCAGTAATTTGCAGATCTGTTAAGACCTTAGAGCTAATCTTGACTGAACCTGTACTTTACTGTCATATTTATTTTTGCAAATCAATTTTAAAAAGCTTAAATTTTAATCGCATTCTACATTTATATCTTTAATAACATCAAGGTGTCTAAGTAAAATAATCCTTACCTTTTTATTGGTTAATTAATGAACAAGGAATCGTGTTCAATCAAGCTTTGTCACACTGGCTTTGAGTTTAAATACAAAATAAAACTCAGTTTACTAAATATATCCATTTAAATTTTGTGACATATTAAAAAACGTAATTATGTTAACTCAATATCGAAAAAAAAAATTCGTAAAACCACATGTGTTCCTTTTTTATGTATGTGTACGTTTTAGAATTACTGAATAGATTATTGATTACGAGTGCAAAATCTATGACATTAAATGTAGTTTAAACCTCGCATTAAGTTCGGGTATTCATCTATAACATAACTCCTTACGGAGATTATTATTATTGCCTAATCCATTCTACAGAATGTTTTTGCTCTACCCCTGTTGTTTAATAAGAATCCGACTTTTTAGTGTAGCCAATTTTCACACCCTATGCAAATTTATGGCTACTATGGTGGCTGATTTGTGCCAGTCGTGTTTTCGCCCCGCGACCCCGCCACGCAAAATGTCGAAAAGTTGGAAGTTGAGCGATTTAAGAAATAAAATGACGGGGGCGCGGAGCGAAAACAGGCTAATTAGCGAGGGCCGCGACGTACTTTAATAACTAAAACTTCGCCTCGCTCATCCCGCTTATTAGCGTGTTTTCCCTTCGCGTCCCCGCCATTTTAACTTGTTAATTTTCGACTTTGCAGGGCGTGGAGCGAAAGAAACGCTTACTAGCGGGGGTGTGGAGCGAGATTTAAGAAATAAAATGACGGGGGCGCGGAGCGAAAACAGGCTAATTAGCGAGGGCCGCGACGTACTTTAATAACTAAAACTTCGCCTCGCTCATCCCGCTTATTAGCGTGTTTTCCCTTCGCGCCCCCGCCATTTTAACTTGTTAATTTTCGACTTTGCAGGGCGTGGAGCGAAAGAAACGCTTACTAGCGGGGGTGTGGAGCGAGATTTAAGAAATAAAATGACGGGGCGCGGAGCGAAAAACACGCTAATTAGCAGGGCACGTGGCGAAGTTTAATAACTAAAACTTCGCCTCGCTCATCCGGGGGGGGGGGGGTACTCCAGAATACAAGAGTTTAATGTTTGCAAAAGCTTTGCAGAAAAGATATTTATAATGCGGTAAAGTTTCATGGAAAATTATTGTCAATATTAGATATCCGAACAATTTAAATATTTGAAATAAAATCTTCGATTAACATAACAACTAACATAAATAATACTAGCATAATAATAATAAAATTGTAGATTGTTCGATAAGTGAAAAAAGATGAATATGAAAATCTAAGTCATTCGTTGCTTCATACATTTAGAAGAATACATCTAATTTATAAATGAATTATGGGAATAAGTGGAACGTGAATGCTTGGGTTTCAAATGGCTGCAACACGAACGCTACAAATGATCAATTCCTTATTGATCAATGCTATTTTATTAAACAATTGATAAATAACTGTATCTTTACAAACCATGAGGTCACAAGCTTGCGGGATTTTGAAATACCTCTTTGAATGCATGAATAATGAAAGAAGACATAGAAACAGTAAAATAGAAAATTTAATTTGAAATACGAAATCAATGTACGTAACTCCTTCCTAATCCTGATACTACATGGCCTGAGGAGTTGTCTCTTTTAAGCAGATACAGAGATAATGGAGTGCGGTTTTATGGACGTACAACTAAAATCTGATCTTCACCACAGCGGGTAGTAAAAAGTTGACTCATTTTCCAAAACAAGCTTAGTCGAGGTAAACCTAGTTTTAAAGTTCAGGACTGTGAAATTTCTTATTGTTCTTTTATTGCAGAAATCTTGTTAAAGGTTATGACATAGCAAATAAATTACCTGTCATGTTTGCTCTGTTGTGTTTAACTTTTATCTTTTATAACAAATTTACAAAAGTATCAATTACCATCTTTAAAAATATATAATCAGTGGTACTATTCTGTGATTTAAACCAGGTTGTTCTTTGTTAAACAAGTTGTGGCATTCCAAATACTCGTTTACATAGTCTACAAGTAATTATATTAGTACTCCCCGTCCGTGTTGGAGATCCTAGCGCGTCTTCTGTCAGAAAGGTGTGAGCTTTTATGGAGTTTTCTTAAGACCACATTGTGGTCTATCTAAACGACTTCTATGAGGCCGATTTATACGTTCTATTGCTTCTATGCGAATTGTCACCGGTTTCCATACATTTATATACATGGCGAGTGTTTCAGGAAGGAGATAAGAGGTCTTAAAAGGTTGCACTTGTAAAGAGACAGGTATTGTAATTTTTTAGTTTCTGCACTAAATTATAGTTATCTACCAAGTGAAACATGTAAACACAAACGCAATGCATTTAATAATGGGACAAAATTATGGCTCTATGATAAGTAAATAATCAGAGTGACTAGTGAATACCTTCTGTTATTCCCTGCGGTCTGGAAACCGCTGGGTATTGGTACGCGTTTAACTTTTGAGGCATAGAGGAGCACGTGACCGTTTTCGGTACATGGAGGAGCATGTGATCTGTAAACATGATTGGTTAATTGACCTTTTCGAAAACCTAGCTAAATACCGTTTGCCGGTACATTACGGATTTACCTGTAGGGAATTAGTCCGAATTACACATATTAAGAACAAAAAACTATTACGTGATATTTCTAATTTTCTATAATTATGTTACCGTTTAAGGTGGAAAAACTTGAATGATGTTTTTGAAAATTATCAATGTTTCTTTAATATCTATCTCAAATTTTACAAACAATAAATTGTTTATACTGAAAATCTACAAAATTAAAATATTCGTAGTGGCATCTGCCATAACAAATAGAGATATTTTCTGCGTAAACTTGTGTGTCTACTTTATTTATCTTTTTGCTCGGAATTATTCATAAAATGGTAGGCCTATTCAATCTTTTTCTTAAAAAGAAATAATTGTTTTATGTTCGACCTTCTCCGGTCTTCAACTGTCACCAGTTTCCTAAGACCTAGCTTCTTCTATATTGATCGTTTCTGCAGTTATTCCTGATACAAACGTTTATTTATCCCCCCACCCCAAATAATGTTGAAAATAGTTAAATTAAATATCTTTATATCATTAAAATGTTCACCGCAGGAAACCATTTTACTTGTTTTCATTTAGATTACAATTGACACAACTAAGATAGTTTTCTGATATACGTGACCATTTTACTGCTGTTGAGTTAAAGTGAACAATCTAAATATTTCTAAGGGTACGGATAATATACGAATATGGAAACGGCTTTATAGTGGTATCTGTTGGCATTTTTATAAGTCATTTAACGAATATTTAATAGAAATTTATCTCAACGTGTCTTTCTGGTAATTGTTGGCTATTTTTATTTACGAAAACCAAAATAAGAAAGTCTATTTAAAATGTACAATGTACTCGTTTTACATAGTGACATACACAGAACATACTGCAATGCAAATAAAGATGCAGACATTTTAACGTTAGACCGGTGGTGACATTTTAACTTCTTGAATTCTCGGGCTCATCTTCATGAATTCACGATTTCAACTTTACGAATTCAAGATTTGAACTTCACGCGTTTGCAGTACATCTAGGTAGTTCTTAAAACGACTATAACATTTCCATGACGCCCTTACAACGTCGCCGTGTAGACCTTGTTTGGACACAATAGTGCACACCCCAAGAGCCCCATAGGGTCGCATATATAATGTTATGTTTGAAACTAGTACTCGGATAAACTCTAGAAAATAGTGGCTTTAAACCTATGCCATAACAAACTTATCTACAGGTTCGTAGCACTGTGTTGTTATTACAATCAACTTTTTTTACATTTGTTGGACATATATCGGTCTTTGGAGACCGGTGACAGTCGAAGACCGGAGACCGGAGACCGGAGAAGGTCGATTAGTTGGACACTCTTTGTATCATTCATAAATGGTGTGAAATAACGATCTTTATTGTTTTTTTGTTTATTTTTTTATTTATTTTTTTGTATGTTTTTGGTATTTTTTTATTCAATTATTCCATTATAAGAAAATTATTAAAGACAGTTGTATGAAAAATTCTGTGAAAAAAATAAATCTAATATTTCTATTTATTATGGCAAAGGTCACTCGTGGTGTAAAATGTGAGGTAAATACTAAAAGAACATAAAAATGTTCAAACACATCAAGTCTTTTTTCCACCTTAACGGTAAAATAATGATAGAAAAAAAAGAAAAATCACGCGTTTTTTTTAATGAATTAGTTTACATTTCGTATCACATGAAATTCAATTTGGCACTTTCATAATTTTACATACATTTAAGACAAGCATGGTCCGGTTCACTTGTGTACATGTTTTATATTGATTATTACATTACACACATAATTGTTCACATTAGTTTATTGTTGTACCGACTATAATTGATTTTGTAAATAATGCACATCTTAAGTGTACAATTCTAGATGATTTTGTGCATATTTCTAGATTATGAGTGATATTAATTAACGAATTTGTCTGCAAGTCAAGTCAAGTCAATGTGTTTATTTAAGTCTCATTTTGTACATACATTAACAAATATAACAAAGTTATAAAAGAAAAATGTGCACAAAACCACTCTAAAAGAGTTATGAGAGACTAAGAACATGATCATAAATAAAAAAAAAACATTTAAAAACAATATTAAGATATTGTTAAAAGCTGAAATATGTGGTGGCAATAAAACTTATATTACACATATAAAACAAACGCATACTAACTATTATTCGGATTTTGACTATGTTACATATGTACAGAGTAAAAATTAGCCATTATATAATAAATTGCGCCTCATGCACACATAATATATCAAAGCAGGCTTTGGAAGAATATTTTACAATATTTTCATTTGATAGCAAATATATGAATTTCTCATGAAAATTATCTGTCGCAAAGAAGTCAAGTGTATACATTCTAGCATTTTGAGAATAATCATACTTTAAATTTGCTAGCAATAAAGGGCCTCCGAACGCGACAGAGTGGTTAAGATCTCTAACATCGGATCAGGGAATTTGACTTCTTTCTGAACTTTTTTCTGAACTCCGCTGGATGACCTTTTCACAGAGGGTTGTTTTTCAAAAAGCTATTATGATGTTTAAAATAATGAATAATCAGGCGCCTTCCTATTTATTGAATAATTTCATTTTATCGTCAGATGTTCATACTCGCATTTTGCGTTCATCATCTGATTTTCAACT